CGCCGGCGGTGAGCCGGCTGGCTTGGGGATGTCGAAAAACGGGATGTTGTTGGGGGCGGTGGAGGCGGTCAGTTCAAACCCGACAGGAGCGCCACCCAACTCTGGCTTACGGCTATTGGTAAGCCAAGTGGATGCCTCCCCCGAAGGCTGCGCCGACGCGGCTAAGCCAAAGGAAACAGCACCGGAAGTGGGCTGCTTAAGGCTCGCTTGCTCTGCGATCTTCTCGATTGCCATCATGAGTTGCTGGACATTGCCCTCTAGTTTGATTGTACACCCCTGCATGGATGCCACGTTCGCCTTGACAACGCACATTTCGCTTTGAATACTAGACACCTCCCTCTGCAGCCTTTCCTGCCCTTGCCTGAGTTCGGTGATACGGCTAACAACTCCACTCTGAAATGCATCTAACTTTCCAGGCAGCGCTTCCGTTAATTCAAAGCTGCTCTTTTCCAACTTATGGATCATCCCTTGTTGTTGTTCTAATTGGTCGCCCACTCGCGAGAGGGATTCCCCAAGACGATTTAAATCGCTTCGCAAAACACTAGAGGTCTGGGGAGGGATGGAAAAAACCGACGAGGTGGATTTGTTGGCGTCCTCATATCGACGCGTCTTGGGCAATCGCAGCATTGATGCGCATCGGCCGCGGCCATGCCCTACCGCCGCCCTATTAGAGCCTTCATCGCCTCCTTCGCAAACGCCCACGCCGTTGTTGGATAGAGAAGCAGTCATTTTAAAATGAGAAAGTGAGCTTTGACATTGCAGTTCGTACGGAGTTCGCCTTCGTTTGTCAATAGGAGATGAAGGTTGTACAATCCCCTCGGCTCGTCGAGGGCTAAGAGAGGAGCGGAGCTGATGCGGAGAGTGCGTGAAGTCGGAAATAGGAATCGACTTTGGGGGTAGCATTCTATAATCAACCGCAAACGGTACACTAAAAAGGAAAAAAATGTTTGGCTGATCTTTTGTTCTGTAGTTACCGTGAAAAAAAAAATTCTAATAATAAAAAGTTACGAGTTGAGAAAGTGTCTACATATTTATGCAATGAATAAAAAACAGTAAATTCCTACTCTACCTTCTGACCCATTCGGTTTGAAGCATGATGCTTTAAATCGATGAAATCAGAAAGAGAGATATACTTTTAAAAAAAAGGTTTGCATGGTAAAGAAAAAAAAGAACCATCTAAGCAATCTACTTCCACAAATTTAGCAGCAATGATGCCACCACATTGGTGTTTGTGGGGTAAAATTTACGACTCCTCGACCGCAGTTGAGGTTGCTCGGGAAGCGAGCCTCCGGTGTGTATTTTACAGTAGCCCTTTGCATACAGTCGCGACTATTAACCATTTGAGAATTCCTTTTGTTTAAACGCGATTCCTAACGCATCCCTCTTTTGAATTTAAACAGAAGCTATTAATCGGTGATCCCACCCATGGACCGCATCTCGATAGACAACCAAGTCGCCTTTAAACTAATTCATCGCGCCTTCTCCCTCAAATGCCAAAAGTCCGATTGGGTGCGTAATCTAAGATCGTGCCGATATTCCACAAAATACACCGTGCACGAGGGGTTTGTTCGCCGCCTTTCCCCCACCCACAACTCATCCTTTAATCGTTTAGGCGGATATTCCCTACCGCCCGCTATGAATTAACGAAAATTAAAAAAATAGGCGGAAAATCGACCAATTTATGGGTGATGGGCATCTCATTTGGTAGTATATCCTCAATAAGTTTGGCCATCAATCGACCTGCGGTGCCTCATTCTTCATTTATTTTCATTTGTTTTGTTTTTTAAAGCGTTGGAGGCATCCCTCCTTTTAAAGGAGAGGTTTGGATGGCAATAATCTGCAGGTTGGATGAAATGCTGAAGTAAACGGGCAGGAAAAAGAAGTTGGACAAAAAATATCCACTCAGGCCTACGTGAAGGTGCAAAGGGGGGCACCAAATCAGCCGCGGTTTCGTTGAAATTCAAGTGGTTCGCTGGCAAGTTGTCTCTAACTTTATTCATGAAAATTCATTATTAGCAGAAAATAGTGCAGACTAAACCAATCATTGGGGTTGATCCAACAATTAAAAGCTTTCAGAGGCCTGCTCTAAGCCTCCAGATGGAAGGCTCGCTTTGAGAGTCAACTTAGTAGTTCCTCGTGTACCTTGTCCGTTAGAAGGTCAGCATTGCAAACCTAAAAAATCAAAGTGAAAGGGTGTTATGAATCTATTAAAATGGATAAATATGAAGCTCCAAAATGCTAATTCTTTAAAACCCTTACTGAAAGGAAGAGATCATCTTAATATTAAAAAAAAATCAACTACAATGGTAACGACTCGTGTAAGTCTGTAAAGGTTGTGGAATAAAAGGGAATTGATAACTGAAAACAAGTATTACTAATAATGGTACTCAAATAATAATGATAACAATACGATAACTAAATATTAAGCAATTTTTCGATATCTTTGAATACTTATTGATATAAGGGCACTCACAAAAGTAACCCCATCCTTCTACAAATTCATCGTCTTCATCTACTAAAGAAGAAAAATGTAAGTTTCAAAGAATCCACACAATCCATATTAAGCCTCTTCTTTATTGACATCGGATGATCAAACAAAGCACATTATTTATATCACTCACACTCTATTAAATTGTACGGCAATTCTTTCGTCTTCACCCTTTTTTTTCATTCTTTCTTTTTCGTTTTATATAATGCCACCCCACATTCCTGATCCCAATTTATTCCCTTTCTCCCTTCACTTCACAGAGAAAGAAAGAAAAAAAGACTCATCGATTAAATGAATGTCTTTCGCTCAAGAAACCTTTTCAGGAAGTAGATCTGCAAAAACGACATCACCATAAGCGTCAGGATTTGAAAAATAGCCCAGAGCAGGATACGCAGGTTCGAGGCCTCGATCGTCGCGCGGTGTCGCTTTTGTTGATCGCGCAGCATGACCTGATATTTAAACATATTATCCACCGTCTCGGACATAATCTCGACCCCCCCCTCAATCGGATCCAATTGAGAGACATCCAGGCGATTTCGGGAGCTGATGTCCTCGTGGAAAAAAAAACTAACGCGGCGGGTGGAGAAAAGGGAGTGTTGGTTGTCGAAAACGACAGCAAACCCCCGCGGGGTGGTCCCGGCGTCGAGACGAAGGCTCCCTTCCACCGCACCTTCCCAGAACTGGATGACGTGGTTCTTGTCGTCCAAAACCTTCACATTTATCGTGGCGCCGCCGTGGGTGTTGAAAATAAACTTCACGGAGGCCCCGGGGGCGATCGTTTCGGAGATGCGAAAGGCATCGCGGGGGGAGATTTCCATCTCCAGCCCGGCCCCTTCCCGCGCGAAAATCCCGCAAAAAAGTAAAAACCCGCAGAACAAAAGTACCCCCGCCCGGGTCGGCCCCACGTGAGAGGACAAATACATCGCGGAGGGAAATGGGCCTCGCGGGGTGTGGGGGGTCGCGTGTGTTGGTAAGAAGTTATTATTATTATTACTATTAGTAGTAGTAGTAGTAGTAGTATTGGCCCTTTGGAGTATTCAAAAAGATCTAGAAATACAAAAAAAAGGAAATAAAGCGGAGCCTCGACCGCGGTGTGAGTTTTTTTTTTATCACAGGTAAGTAAAACGATTGTTTTTTGGTTTGTTTTAGTACCCTGTGAGTGAAAAAGTTGTTTCGCTTGAAGTTTTGGGGGGAGAAATCTAAGCTTCGTGGGGTGGAGAGAAGAATACGGGGACAAAAATAAGAAGCTAAGGTACGCGCGGGATGAAAAACTATCATTGGTATAAATTGTAGAAATGAGAACAAGCAAATAAAATTCATCCCTATTGAACTCAGAAGTGCTGTATTGGCAAATACAATCCTTCAGTAGACGAAAATATTATGGATTGAAATCAATCACAGTGCTAATATTCAACAGAAAAGGAAATCTGTGAATCGAATTATTTACCTAAAGCATTGGATATCGCCATGTTTGGCATAATTATTCGTCTTTGGAATTTCCTCTGGGTGCGAGAGAGTTGAAAAGATAAAATTATTTCGATAATAATAATATTACCCCCTCTCCTAAGGCAATGTCACCCTTTTACACAAAATGCTGTTATTTTCTTACAAAAGGAATTATTTTCATGCTAATGTTTAAAATTGGATGAAGTATGTAATAATACCAAGAATAGTTCATATTGAGAATAAAACATAGTGTTTATGGATTCATCCTAAAGTCTACTGCTCTGCTCATCGATCCCGTTGATCGTAAACAGTTTACGACTTCCTTGTTGAACCGAATAAATATTGCGTGAGCTGATGTGTGCACATAAAATGTTCAAGCATCTTTGTAATTTATAGGCCTGTTAAGCGAAGTACTTGATATAAAAACTGGAGAACGAATAATCAGCACTAAAAAAAATAGACAAGAGCCTTAGATATCGTTATAGATGGATAAAAAATGAATAAATTTTACAAATGTAAATAAAAGTATGGAAGATAATGCATATAATAATCTTTTTTCTTTCCTCAAAGGGTATTTTTTGTGTACACACAAATAACTAAAAAAATCTTGCTTTTTAATGATGTATATCGCTCTTTAAACATTATACAAAAAAAAAGGATGATTGAACGCGCATACCTATAATAATATTTGATACTGATAGTTCTTTTAGAGGTTTCTCCTCATTAAACGTGGTTATTTTAAAAATAAAAATGTCAATCACCTCGATGATAGGAAGAAAGGAAAGAAAATATAGCAATACAAATCATTGTAAGGTAATAATTATTGCGGGCTGTTTAACACCCTTTATTCATCATAATCCTCAAGTTTTCATAGTAAACAGCTTCTGAAGAAAGATATTTTTGCATTTGAAAGAGTTATTTTATCATCAGATATAAAAATATACAGAATAAAATAAAATATAAATATAATAAAAACTTACCATCACATCAAAACTCATCTTTCTATGGATAATAAATAAAAGAATATAAAAACTCATATATTTGAAATATTTTCCTGCTTTATTCTTTTTTTTATAGAAATACGATAAAGCCTTCTATTTGCAATGAGCCTTTATAAAGTTCACCACGTCGTTTAGTACAATATCTCGATTCACCTCAGTCATAACCTCATGCCCAGAGTTAGGGTAGATAATCATTTTTTTGGAACTCGATGGGAAAAGGTTAAAAATCTCCTGTGCGCGTGCCAGACCACACAGTTTATCATCCTTGCCGAATATAACCAAAAGCGGAAATTCTTTTATCACCTTTTTCACCTCCACGAACGCGCGATCCTGTGCATCTAGAAACTCCGCAAGAAAGCGCGCGCGGAGCTTTTCGTTCGAGTAGTACGGATCCTGCTTGACGAGCTCGACCACAGGCGTATTGTAACTGACGAGTTTTGCATTTAGCCGTGTGAGCTTCATCTTTGGGACTGTCTTGGAAAGGAAATTCAGCACCTTGCGCATACAAGGCCCCGGCGAGTTCATGGCCACCGAGAAGGCCGGCCCACTGAGGATGACAGCATCAAAAAAACCCGCCGGTGCGCGGACCGCCGTGAAGAAGCCAATCAATCCCCCCATCGAATGCCCGAGAAGCACCCGCGGGAGCCCCTTGAGCTCGGGGTACCTTTCCAATATGCCCGCCATAAAATCCTCAATGTCGTCGACGAAGTGGTCAAAGCGCTCGACGTAAAGCCGGCAGCCCTCACTTCCACCGGATCCGACGTTGTCGAGTGAAAAGCACGCCGCGCCCTCGCGATTAAGCCTCACAGCGATGGAGTCATAGCGATTGGCATGCTCGCCAAGGCCGGAAATGATAAAAACGACGTACTTCACCTCACTCGATGGGACCCTCGGCCACCATTCGGTGAAGCGCAGCCAAAGATTCTGCCGGTTTTGTCGATAATAGGGAAAAAGAGAAGGATCGGGGGGGCGGCGGGACGGCACGGCATAGGGCAGGTTATTCCCCGCATGACACACTGAACACCCCATTCAATACAAGCCTCTCCGAGGATGGTAAAGTAAATAGTACGGTTAATATAAAAGAGGGATGGGGAGGGAGGAGAGAAGAGGGGGAGGGGGGGGAGATGTTGAGAAGGTATGCCTTAAAGAAACGCTAAAGTATAATGTGCAAAACTCCTAGGGATAAACTTCACGGTGTGACAGACAGTGACACGGTGTGACAAACACAGATCAAGGGAAAGACAAAAAAGGGAATAGAAGAATGAAAGATGCATTGGGGAAGAGGTGGGTTCCTTTTCAGTGGAAAATTGTGTCAGTTGCACGGGACAGAAGGCAAATAAAAAGGGGGGGGGGGGGAAGAAAAAAGAAATGCCGCAATACGCATTGATATGGATGTCTCTCACAGCCATTTTTACTCGAAAGAAAAGTTCGTCAAGGATGAATGCGCGTCGTTTGGAAAAGAAAATGAGGGATTTTTTGAAAAATTGGCTGTGAGGGCCTGCGTAAGATGTCGAACCTGCGCGCGGAGCTGCTCACGCCGCGCCCGCCGCTCCTCAAGCCAAATTAAACGTGCATACACCGCTCGCAGCCTCGCCGCGGCCGCCCATTCCGCCTCCTCATGCCTTCCTTGAAAACGTCTTTTCATTTCCTTTTCGAAGAAAACAATCTCTTTCTGGAGAAGCTCCAGCTCTCTCAGCTCAGCCTTTGCCGTTGACTTCGCTAGACGATAAGCCTGGACAAGTTTTTTGCCCTCATGAAGGAGCTCCTCATGACTTGCCTTTGCCCAATCCACACAAGGTGGTAATTCTGCGGATGGGAAGTATTGGAAGTGATGTTCGACCTCGAGACCATTAAAATATGATAAAGGAACATTAAAATAGGGTTGGGTGGAAGGATTTGGATCATGGGGAGGTAAAATACATTCTAAAGGCTCTGGTGAAGAGAGATCGGATGGCAACGAACGCGCCTGCACGGCAATAAATGGGTTTTCAACATTTTCTAAGGAGGCTGCGGAGCATGTGCAGAGATGTCGTTGTGGATTCATTCGGTGGTGATAGGGCGGGTGTAAAATGGATGTTAAATGAGAGGACACCTCCCCTTTCTGCATGGCGTGATGGGAATTGTCTGACTTTTCCTCAAATTTTGCTTGCTTTCCCTCCTCAAACCTATCAGACACCCCGACCATTTCAGAAGTGGAAGGATTGAGCGCTGAGGTATTGGAATGAAAAAAATGATTGGGTGGTTCCGCTGCTGACGGAATAACGGCAGCCTCGGATGTTGAAATAGCTTTCTCCAAAAAAAGGATCGTTTTCTTCTCTTTTTGCGGCGTATCGAGAGGTATTTCATTTGTTTGCGCCTTAAACGTCTCGGTTTGAGTGGAGGCCTCACAAAACGTCTGCGTTGAAATCGATCGTCGTGGTGAAAGGGGTATAGGTGCATGCGAATGGATATTGTGGAATTTCTGTATTCCGTCAGAATGATGTTCTTCCCACACGGACGCGTTTTCAGTCGTCCTTGTGGGTGAATTCGACGCTTTGTGATTTTTTTCCGAACTCTCGCGAGGCGCATTGTCGGCATGGCGAAGCGGGATCGGCTTTCGTAGGCTTCTTCTGTTCATAAGTGGGATTCTCGGGTTATCACGCCGATCCGGTCCATCAGGGGAGGTCGAGCAAGGTGAAATAATAGACAAGTTATTGCCATTGTTGGAAGATACGGGCTTGAGGTCGGACGAATTCCTAGGAACAGACACCAAATAGGTGGACAAAACCGATTCAATAATTCGCCGGAGCGTAAGATCCTGTAATAATCGTTTTCGCGCTTCTTTTGCCATGAGTTTTAGACGAGCTCCATGGATTCGAGTATTCCACCGATCACGCCACCTTAGCCATCCCTTTCTCAGGGCGTTGACGATCGCCACGGTGTTGTAGAAACGCTCCACAACCACATCCTCCTCTCGACACCGAGATCGATAGCTTGCTTTGGCTTTCCAATGAGAAAATAAAAGTCGCTTATGGCGTACGCCAAGATTTTTTTGGTTGAACACGATGGATATGGTATTCAAACGAGCAAAGAGCTCCCATTTGGCGAAAAAAACTTGAAGGTGCGAAAGATTTACACGGCGGCTCATCATCGAGCTGATGGCTCTCCCTGACCATCTCTTCCAAAAATCTTCACGACACTTCATACGAACGGATGCCTGTAGTTTCTGAACATTTTTAGCATATATCTGAATTCGACATGCCCGACGAAGAAAAGTGGTCTGAAGCCACCGCAGCCACACAACGCGTCGTGTTAAATCATTGCAAACATTAGCAGTTAACAACAGCTCTGAATGTCTAGAATGTGAAACTTGTTTATTATCTGAGTGAAAACTAAGCCATGGCTGCGTTATAAAAAGCTTCACCACTTCAATGCGAAGCTGCCTTTCCTTCACAATACATGTGAATCGCTTCCAAACAAACCACCGCACGCGTAAAGAAACCTTCTCATTGGCAACCTTCAGTCTTTTGGCAAGAAAACGCCTAGAAGCATAACGATTCCACTTAATCCAATAACTATGCATAAGTTCGCTTCTACGGCAAGCATTGAGATGCTCAACCTGTCTAATGCTATTTTTGCGTTGAATCACATACCCTCTCCAGCTTTTCGTCAAACGCCGAAGAATGCGTTGCTTATGAAGCAAACACAACCGTTTTTCTTTCGCTTTCATCGTCTGACGATGCTCGTACTTCCATTGCCAAGCGCGAAAGAGCAAGTAGGAGATGTTTCGACGGTAGTACTCTCCTGAAAAATACTCTAACCGCATCATCTTTTCATTATGCCTATTTAAAGCCTCTCGCCACCTCTGCCAACACCGCATACAAAGATTTTCATGATGGGTTACGATGGCAACCATCCTCAATGCAAGAGAACTATTCCCATCATCGATGGGACTCTCATCCTCAGAAGCTAATGATGATGAACTACTTAGAACGATCAAAGATGATGAAAATTCGGGTTTAAAATCCATCTATCAGTTCGTTTTTTTTTTTTACTGGGGTTGTGTCTATGAACAAATATTTATAAGGTTATATTGTCTATAGAAGTAATCTAAAATGAGCCTTCCCCTATAACTTTGGAATATGTATGGCATCATAAAGTGGATAATCAAACCAAGAAGTTGGGCATAAAGTCACATATTTATTGGTTATGTTAAATTTCAAAATGAAATATAAATATTAGAAAATTCGACGAATCCTGGGAAAAACACCCGATGTAATAAAAGGTTGAAATCAGTGAAATCTTGATAATTGCGATAACTTGGCAGTCCATATAATGCCTTTATCAATCAATGATCTGAAATCTAGCGGTGTTAAACTCATAAAGTTCAACCGTTCTTGGGTTTATGTCCCTGTAAGCAGTCGCAAATAAGATTTTCAGGGTTCTGAAAACTACCACCATCTTACGCTATCAGAACAAACCGCAGGGTACTTTCTCAGATTGAAGAAAAAAGAGGAATCAACGGTTGGATCGCCCTCCATTTAAAATAAAAAGATCCCATACCTTGTGCAGACGTATCGCCTCGACCCCACCTGTGAGGTCAATCGAAGTTCTTTTTCGGGAGCTCATTTGTTTGCTTGACATACCTATCCATCATCCCGTTGAGAAGGTTATAATAATAATAATAATAATAATAATATGGGATGATGAAGCTCTTCTTTGCCGTCGCCGATGTAAGCATAGGACTTTATCCGCTCCAGAGGAACGAAGCTCTCGGAGAAAAAAACGCAATTCCGTTGGATAACTACCGTCAAAAGGACTCCACGGTTTCCTTTGAATTCGGCGTTCTCGGTATGTGAGAAGTTCCTGGTTGTCTTTTTAGATTTATTGGATGTTTAGTGGCTCACAGAGTAGTCGAAAATTTTCTTCCCCTAAATTCCACTAAAAACAAAATAGGCATCTTCGCGCCCCATCGCATTCGCGAGGTCAGTACTGCACCGGCCTTAGTCCCTCCCGGGAAATCTCTTGGATGGCCGACAAAACATCTCACACGTCCATCGCAAAGGCAACCTCGAGAGCGGTGGAAAAAAAAAATGTCAAACGGGGTTATGGTTAAGCAGCTTTAGGGGAAATAAAGCATCAAAAAGGGCAATTAAAGGCTTTCTCGACAACATCTCTTCTGCTTCAGGTTGATTGTCGATGGATACGACGAATCTTGAGGACCATTTCGCAGTATGCACGTATATTAGGGTAACGCATGACCTGAACTTTTGTAGGGTTATATTGACACTCCGACTCCCATTTTATGAAGTATCGCCGTTAACTAAAATTCTGTATATATGACTATAGACCAACTCACTATTCTCCTCGTAAAAAAAAACAAAAAAGCAAAGTGTCAATATTCCAAATCAATTCAACAAAATCAAAGATGAATTTACAAGGAAAAAATAGGAAAAGGGAAAATTAAACAGATCAAAAGGGTGCCTTTTGAAGGCTAGAATACACAATAGAAAAATGCCACACACATACACACACACACACCTATACACAATTATAGACGCTATATATTTATAAAAAAAAATACTAATTATCTTGTGATCAATTTAAACAGGATAAACTGTCTTGCTATTGAAAAGGTAATAAATCATGGTAATGATATAATAATGAAAAAACTTCCATTCAATAATCTAGATGTCCCTTGATCGATTTAATACATCTATAAAAGATAATAATAAGATAACAGCACGGAAAAAATGAACGTAGGAATCCGTAATAGCACTACCTATTCCCAAATGTAATGTCATTCATATATAGATATATATATGTAGATAGATAGATAGATAGAGATAGAGATAGATATATAAAATAAAAAAAATTGTGTGTTTTCTAAAGACAAAAGAGAACTCTATGTGAACACACATGCATATTTCATCGCTTGCTTTATTTAATACATATTTTATTTTTGTTTTACATCGTCGCCCGTTCAACAGTTTCAATAATGGCTTTATGCAATTGTCGTGGTAGCGTCGTCCCCTCCAAGCAAATAGATG